CTATAGCAAAGTAATATCTACTTCTATTTTTTACAAAAACTTTATTTCTTTTAATTTTTAGATAAAATAATGTCTTCGTCTTCATCAACAACATGATCATCATCACAGACATAATATTCACCAACAACATGATCATCATCTCGAACGTGATATCGATCAACGTGGATGTGAATAAGGTTTTCTTTTCTTCATCATTATGTATTTTGTCATGTACATTTTTCTGATATTAGGTTGTTGTTTTTTTCTGATATTATGTTGTTGATTTTTTCTGATATCATGTCCCTCATTTTTTCCATTAATATATAATGTTTAATTTTTTTTTGTACTACTAGAATTTTCTTGAATTTTTTATGCTCAAACATTGTCTTGAATTTTTTTCTTTTTTTGTAAAATATACTTCTTCATGTCTTCATAAAACAATAATTAAGATGTGTTTATCCTGATGATAATGTTCTTTTTTTCTATCGTTTATTTATATTGACAAAAAAAGATATATCTACAAAAATAAACGAATGAAATTCAGTTAACGTTTTGTCCTTTATAAACCGGTGGTTTTGGATCACTTGGTAAATCAATAAATTCAAATTTTATATTTAACTCTTCTGTAGGATTTTTAATGAAATTAAAACTTTAAACATTTCAATTTTATTCTTCAATCTTATCTATTTAAAAATAACCAAATATCATGTTAAACATATTGTCTTTTCACATTGAATATACAATAATACAGAAAAAAAACCATGAATAGTTCTATTTTTGAGTTTTTTGTTTTTTAACTTCGATCATAGGTCGTTTACCTGTAGTTGATTGTGAATCCGATGGTGTACGTTGTTCTTTTCCTATAATGTCAAAAAAAAAGAAAAGAAAATTTATTATACTTTTCTTTTTCTTCAAACTACTACATACGTGGAAGATTTGTATCTCCACCAGCAATTGTTGCAGTTTCATTATTTGTTGTTGAAGGAGGTATTGCAGTTTGTGTTGTTATTCCAGCTGGTATTTGTGGTCGAAAACGATCATGATAATTAGGAAATATTGTTTCAAAACGAATACGTTGAGTATTTGTTAAAACTTTATTTTTCGATGAATCTTTCTTTGTTAATTCATCTATGTATTATTTATGATAGATTTTAATTTTAAAAAAAAAGTAAAAAGAAACAAACCAGATGAATTATTCGTTTTCCAATAATAACCTGATGAAGGATGATAAGCAGCTCTTTGTGATGTTAGAAAAATAAATCAATAAAAATTTGTTTTTTGTTCACATATGAATTATTACCTTCATCAAAAGCTTTGCCAAAATGATGAACAGCAGTTAACTAAACAATAAAATGAATAAAAAAAAAAGATAAATCATTAAAATAGAATATTTACTAATCGATGACTAATAACAGATGCTGCATCAGGAGCTTGATAAATATGACCGGGTGCAAGAATATAATATTCTTGAAGTGGTCTTACTATAAAAAAAATAATTTATCAAATATAACAAATAAGTATATATTCAAGATCATTATTTACTAAAGAATAAAAATTTGAATTTTATGATCAATAATTGAGATATAAGCAGATTTTGATACTAGTCTATAAGTATCTCTTCAAATGAAATAAGTTTTTAGATGCAATACTATGCAAACCGTATAAGATAAAGAATCTACACGCTATCCGAAAAGGAATTTTAAATTGAAACAAAAACTTAATAAGGACGTTCTTCGGAAGAGGAAAACTCAATATTCTGAGGAATGTCACCTTTTTGGTTCTCATAATGAGTCAAAAGTTACCAATTCATCTTGAATGACATGAAAATTGAATTTATTATTCATTTGATTTTTTACGATTTTTTCGTAGCTATGTTCTTATTTTATCTATATAAAGCTGAGATGATATATGGCTAGATGCATGCAAAGGTGGTTATACTAATTGGAATTGTTAGTCTTCATGTTCTTTTTATAATATGAAATCATCAGTACTGATACAGATTCAAAATCACTCATTTCTATTGTTAAGGTCTCATTCAAAAAATTATGTAAGAATAGCTTTGGAATGTATTTTTTTAAACTAACTATTATTTCTAATGAAGTTTGTAGCATGAAGATCGTAATATTTTATAAATTCATATCGAAAACAAATAAATCTAGAAAAAACCATTTTTCATGTCACTCTCTACGAATGAATAAGAAAAAAACTTCACCAATATTCATTTATCTCGCGAGTCAACGTTCCCAAGTATGACTCGCTAATCGAACTGACGTTTTGCCAATAAATAGCGATTGACAAGACTAACAGAAATCTATAAAGGTTCATCCTGAGTTTTTTTTATCTCTAGTAAGATATTTATGAAACAATTGAATTAGTAAATTTCAAACTGGGACTGTGCCCATAAGTAGATCTTGTTGAGGTATTGAATATCCAAAAACAAACATATGTCACAAATAATGATGAACAGAATCAATCATTTTGCACAACTTCTAATGTTTCTATTCATTGATACTTCGTCTATTCTGCACGTTTATGTGTTCAATAACTCTGTTGTTGACGAAAAAGCAAATATGGAAGTGATCGTTACTCAATAATTTTCGCATAAACTTTTAGAACACATTAACCGTGAGACTATGACATTTGATGCAAGTCTTACACAACCATAAAAGATACCAATTTTTTCTGAATTTGTAACTTATTGACAGCTCTATACAATATTCGGAAACTGTCTCAATCCAGTGCTTTAATTATTACTGTAAATGGATAGTCTCTATGAATAGATCGAAAATAGTCTAAAACCAAGATGATCAACACTATATCAAATATATTTTTTTTTCAACAATGATTTCGTTTTTGTTTGTTTTACATACATTCATTTGGCCCTTCACGAAAATGTTTTCGAATAATATACAAAACTGGATCTTGTCGATGTACAAGTGCATATTCAATACCAGTTGCATTTAATTATCAAAAACAAAAACAATGAAGCAAAAATTTTCAATAAAATATATTAATTTTCTCGTACTATAGCTTCAACAGGCAGATTTTTCATATAAATTTGTTCATTTAAACTCGATCGATCATAAAATGGATTTCCTATTTGACAAAAATAAGCTAATGCTGTTTCTTCACTTAATTCTGTATTAAAATGTTGAAATCAAGATAAATCACTCCAATTAAGATTAAGAAGACTTTCTAGAGATTTATTTTAAAATTTAACATGTTTTATTTTGTTCAAAAAAAAAATTTTTTGTTCTTGATTTACTCTTTGATAAATCCATCTGAGAAATCTACAAAGCACAAAATCGAATAATGATCACATATATATATATATATTATATATGTGTGTGTATGTTGAAATTTGTTTTTCTCGTTGTCCAGAAAAAAAAAGAAAAAACACAAGACCGAAAAAAAAGGCACTATTCTACAAAAATCTGTTTTCTTGTTATTTTTTTTTTGTATTTAATTATAATGAAAAGACTAGAGAACTCGACGACGACATTCAGCTGAACCACAATGACAATCCATTCGACGACCAGCTATTTTACCTACTGTATAATTATAATCCCAACTAAAACAAAAATAAATGTGGAAACATCGGATTTATATCCGAGTGTTATGTGTACCTCAAAAAGTGAAGAAACAGCATTAGCTTATTTTTGTCAAATAGGAAATCCATTTTATGATCGATCGAGTTTAAATGAACAAATTTATATGAAAAATCTTCCTGTTGAAGCTATAGTACGAGAAAATTAATATATTTTATTGAAAANAACGACTTTTCTTCACAATTTTCGAAATCTGACTTGAAATTCGGATTCACCGACTCCGATTTACTTTCGCCAACCTTTATAAAATATCGTTGTTTTCTTAAAAAATCCTTCCTTTGACCTAAAAAATGGAGTTCAAAATTTTCGAAATCTGACTTCAGATTCAGATTCCTCGACCTATCCTCACTTTCGTCAAACACTTTCCGTATCAAAGTCAACTTAATCCCCAACTATAATATACCATTCGATAGAGAATTTCACGAGCTACAAAATGGTATATAAAACATTAAACATTTGAGCTTAAACTTTTGGGCCAAGGAAAGGGTTTTTTGAGAAAATAGCGAGATTTTATAAAGGTTGGCGAAAGC